CCTGACAACAGAGCTCAGTGTGGGATCTTTTTAAGAAAATGAAAGAGAAACCTGTGTAATATCTGCAGAGCAGAACTTACCTTCAACAGCAATTATTTTTAGTTAGCATATAGCTAAAATCTAACCATGGTTATATAATAGCAGCTGTATACTGGTGTGATGAGCTCTATGTTTTATATTCAATTAACGTTTGATCTGATTAGTCGACTAATTGAAAAATATAATCAGTGATTAATTGACTAAAAATAATGGTTTGTGGCAGCCATTAGGTGAACAGATATATGTTGAGCAGGTGTCCCTGATGATGCACACACAATTTGGTTCAGATCGGATCATGTATGTGTAATTTAGAGCTAACAGTGCAAACGACGAGGCATCAGCATTCATCACTCTGCCACACCCACACCGTCCCTCCACCAGTCAGTGTGTAGAGAAGCAAGCAGCATGTGATGTCAGCACATTCAAAGCTGGAGGGGGAGTTTGCTCAGATACATGCGCAAGAAAAGAGACTAATTGACAACTTTGATCCAAAATGGCCGACTTCCTGTAGGGATTAGACCAGGACTTCATGAGACTTTTTCATGTCCTCCTGAGGCCTTACACGTGTACTAAATTTTATGGTTCCAAGTCCAAGCATGGCTTGGGGCTAATTTTTGTAATAATTGTAGGGGGTGCTGTGGAGTTATTAGGCCACGCCCCCCAAAACTGGACTGCATTGCTGTAGTGGGGTGGATTCAGATCAACCTTAGTGAATTTGGTGCAGATTGGCTGAAACATGAGGAACTTAGAGGCAAGTGTATGTCAACAGCATGATGTCTGATTGACTGCACTGCCATGACCTCGCCTTTCATCTAGTGTGTGTGTGCTTAAAAACAAGTGACATCATCTCATCTGTGTTCTGACAGTTTGTTGTTGGTTAGGTCAGCAGGGTCAGAGATGGAGCTGTTCAAGAAAAAAAGTCACTTTCTGTTGTCAGGGGGTGGGGCTTTGATGATGTCATGTCACATGGTATGGTTGGGCATGCAACATGGATGACTCATACCAAGTTTAGTGTATTTTAGCCTTTCTGTGTGGACGTTAGAGCTTTCTGAAATTATCACAGACAGAGAGCATTCGAAGTTCCCCGCCTCGGTGACGGGGGGCAATAAGGGGGTGAGGTGGGGTGAGTCTTGTTCTGGGAAAATAAATTTGTTTGTATGTGCTGGGTTTTAGATTTCCCCCAGGAGCGCTGCCCTGTGGTGCTCGCACCACTGCTGTACCCTGAAAAACGGGACATTCTCATGGACAGGATCCTGCCAGACTCGGGGGAGTTAGCAAAGACCATCATGGAGAGTTCTCTTGCAGACTTCATCCAAGAAGTTGGCTATGGCTTCTGTGCTAGGTGAGTTCTCTGAAGCTGCACTTATGTCAACCTGAATCTCATTTTGGAAAGTTGTCTGCAGTATGAAAGATGTAATGTCAGTGAATCATGTTATCTTCTGATGAAGAGCATTTCTTTACTAATCCGTACTAAACTGAGTGCTGTGTTGTAACTATGAACCAAAATGCTTGACCTTAAAGGTCCACCCCAAAGAAAGGATGACTCTGTCTCAAAACAAATTTGAATAAATGGCAACAAAGTGGGCAGTACCAAGAGGCACTGAGGGGCGTGGCCTAAAGTGTGGGGATGAGTGAGGAGGTGTTGTTAGGATGAGAGAGTGTGACAGCTAGCTTAATGTGACAAGCTAACAATTCTGATTGTTCTAAGCAAACAATGTTCTGTAGAAAGTAAAGTTTCATGACATACAGGTCAGCTCAGTCTGTGACAGGGCAACATTCAGGAAACGTCACATGGAAAAATGCTCCTCTACGTCACAGAGCAGAGTCTCTCTGATTGGTTGATGCACCGCATCGAGCAGCAAAAAATCTGATTTTTCAACTCCAGCATTGGCTTCTTTGGACACGCTGCGCGCACGTCAAACACTCAAACTGCACCTACCGCTTCGAGCCGTGACCCGCATCCACCGTAGACTTTGGGTAAACCTGACGCTCCTGCTGCTGTGTGAACCCAGCTAAAGGTTGGGTTTAGCGATACAGAAGCCTGGTGCTGCTGAAGCTGTTTGTGTACAAATGATGACCAAACAAAAACTGCCCTAAATGTTACTGGACCTGAGTTAGCAGCTACATGAAAAAGTTACAATTGAAATCCTCTTTTACAGAGCCCATTAAGCTTGTAGCCATGGCCTCTTTTTTATTTATTTTTTTTATTTTTTTAGAAAACACAGACCCCACTTAGTGAGGTTTGCCCTGTTGTGATCCAAGTTTTGAAACAAAAGTACAAGAATTGCTTAGAGGTCATTGAAAAGATTTAAAGAAACAGTCTCCAAACCCATAAAGCCTGTGAACAGGAGGCTCCAAAGACTCAAAAGTTCAATACAAGCTAAGATTTAAGAAGTTTAAAATGTCCTGATGCATCTCAGTAATCGAGGTAGAAAAAATCAAAAAGAAAATATAAATAGGTCCTCTGGATGGCTTCTTCTTCTTGGACGAGAGACAAAACGTTTCACTTGCACAAATACATTATAGTATAAGCACATTGGAGTTTTTGTGTGTTATAATGTATTTGTATATGTAACTAATGGGTGGTTTTGTTCTTTTCTCCAGTCTGGATGAATGCAGAAACATAATCATCCAATATGGGGTGAGAGAGGTGACAGCCAGTCAGGTAGCCAGGGTCCTGGGAATGATGGCTCGGACCCACTCAGGTCTATCTGATGGTATCCCACTGCAGGTAAGACATGACCTTACTGAGCAGCCACCAGCTAGACAAAATGTTTAAACCACCTTTTGTTACTTGAATAACTTCACATGTTCTACCACTGACCATGAGCTTCAGAGAAAACCCAGCTTTTCTTTCTCTCTATTGGAAACACAATATAAAGAAATAAGGGCTGTATAAAGAGTTCAGCACAATAAAGGGTTATGCTAGCAGTATGCAGACATGCAGCTCATTGACTTGTGGAGCCATCACATCAGTGTATGTTTTAAATGTATTTGGGTTTTCTTCCACAGTCCATCTCTGCTCCAGGAAGTGGTATCTGGAGCGATGGTAAGGATAAGAATGATGGTTCCCAGGCCCACACCTGGAATGTTGAGGTTCTTATCGACGTCGTCAAAGAAGTGGTACGTAAATTATTTGTTTCTCAGGGTTAACTTTTAATTTTAACACTAACAACAATGCTTTGAGTGACTTCAATATATTTGAATATTTTTTAAATTAAAAATGTCATTTGAACATTTCAGGAAGACCAACCATCTACATTTTAACAATGAAGTAACATTTTGTTAAGCTGTATGACTATCACAGTCAGTGGTGTCCAATCCTGGTTCTGGAGGACCACTATCCTGCATGTTTTACTTGTTTTTCTGTCCAACACAGCTGATACAATGACTGAATTGCCTCTTCAAGTTCTGCAGAAGCTCTTTTCATCAATCAGGTGTGTTAGAGTGAAGAACCGTTAAATCCTGCAGGATAGTGGCCCTCCAGGACCAGGGTTGGACACCCATGATCTATGGCCCTGTTTACTCGATGCGTTTTTTTCAGTGAAACCAGAGCTTTTCTGCCAAGGTCGGCTGTTTGTGTATATGATAACAGCCCTTGTTCTCTTTTCTGCTCTCAGAGTGATTTGTTTTGTGGCGGGGCAACACACACACACCAAAGCAGAGTGTTTTTGTGCTATCAAGCCCCTTTTAGTATGAAGGAGCAAAACTACCAACATCCGAGGTCTGAAGGAACATTGTTAAATTCACCAGTTTAGACTTAATCAGGGTTTCCAGAGAAATAAACCATTTTTATGCCCCCTAATTTTCAGCGCACCTTTTCACCACAATTCACGTGATCTTGCAACACATTCGTTCAGCACATATTTTTATTTTGTTTATTTAGAAATTTATTCATTTCATTTGTAACACAAAATAACAAAGAATAAAAAACATGCAATCAAAATTATATCAAATAAAATGAAAAGCGGCAGAAGAAGAATAAATCTTATAATATCTGCCCCTTTTTTATACCCAAAATATGTTAAAAAGAAAAGTAAATTCAACAAAAATCAAAACAACTGAAAACACACAAAAACAAACAAAATTTAAAACACCAACTCAAACAACAATTTGCATGAATTCACTTGTACTTCTCCATATTTCTTCAGAATACTAGATTTTATTATTCTCCAATATACACAAAGATCTGTCATGTTTAACCTCATCTTCCAGGCTGTTCCATAATATTATTCCCTGGATTAAAGTGGATCACTCCTTCAGGCTCGTACGAACCCAGGGTTTCACAAACATTTAAATTCCCTTAAGATAATAACAGCTCTGTCTTTTAACAAAATTTACTTGAATGTTGGAAGGTAACACACCTTTATGAGCTCTGTACATTAATAGCAAAATATAATCCACCAAATCACAGAATTTTAATCATTTCAATTCATGAAACAATATATTAGATGGATGGCTGTAATTTCTTCTAGTAATAATTCTTATAGCTCTTTTCTGTAAAATAAAAATAGGATTTGTGAAAGTTTTGCAAGCTTTACCCCAGACTTCAACACAGTAAATTAAATGTGGAACAATTATAGCGTTATACAACATAAACAGTGATTTATCATTGAACAGTTCTCTTGCTTTGTACAGGACACCAATAGATTTGGATATTTTTGTTTTTAAACAATTTATATGATTTTTCCATGTCAGTTTTTCATCAATAATGACACCTAGAAACTTCACTGACTCTACAGATCTACATCATCAATTTTATGAAACATCTACAGTTCTCTTACTGTTACTGAAAATCAAATAATTTGTCTTATCCAAGTTTAATCATTATTTAGTTGAAACATCTTTGTATTTTCACAAATTCTGTCTGTACCATCTCCATCATTTCTTCTATATCTTTACTGGAACAAACGAATGTTGTATCATCAGCAAATAGAACACACCCAAAAGTCCAGACACATTGACCAAATCATTCATATACAAAGTAAATAACTTTGGTCCGAGAATGGAACCCTCCACATGAGATGTTACAAAACTTTAGGTTACTTAACATAACCCCGGTTCTTTGATAACAGAGTGAGGTGTTTCACTATGGGAAACGCTCCTGTGTGACCATCTACGGAAGCTCCAATGACATTACATCTGTCTGAGACAGACAGGTTGAGCCGTGCTCAGGGCTCCGCCTCCCCTAATATATCATGGTCAACCGACCCCTCCCAACTCATTCTGGAACAGTTTATTTCCGTGTCCATGCAAGAAGGGAAGTGTTGGTGAAACACCTCACTCTGTTATCAAAGAACCGGGGTTACGTTAAGTAACCTAAAGTTCTTTTTCTAACTTCATTCAGTGTTTCACTATGAAAGCTATAGCTCGCTCCCGTATGGCATGAAAGCCCCGAAGCCCGCAGCTTCCCAGAATTTCATCCCCGCCAATGGGAGGTCCCACAATGGAACCAGAGGCCTAGAAAATGGCCGCTTACGTCGTGCCCCCTTCATGAAGCGACACACTAGAGGATGCTGACCAACAGATTTGTTGTTAAATCCAATGTAACAAGCAGAAATTGCTGCTAGATAAACTTTGGTGGAAAAAGCTTTGCCTTTTTCCAGCAGGTTCTGTAGGAAACAGAACATCCACAATAGAGCACTGAAAAGGAATAGCGTGCCTCTCTCCACACCATTTCTCAAAAACTTGCCACTTACCACTGTAAAGATAGTGAGTAGAGGAGGCCCTTGCACTTTGAATTGTGTCAACAACCTTCGGAGGGAGGCCAGCCTCTTCTAAATTCCACCTTTCACCAGCCAGGCCTAGTGAACCATGCGATCTGGGTGAGGGTGATATATTTCTCCCCTGGCTTGGGACAGGAGGTCCCTGTGAATGGGGAGAGGCCACAGTTCTCCTGACAGCATCTGAACAATTTCTGCCACCCAGGGCTTGGATGGCCACCATGGGGTGACCAAAATTAAAGACCGGCCCTGTTCTCTGCTCATTGTGGAAGAAATCAGGCTGAGAGGTGGGAAAGCATACAGCAGCGTGTCTGGCCACGGGTGGGCCAGTGCGTCCATCCCCAATGGAGCATCTGCGTCTGACAGGGAGAAGAACCGAGGACAGTGGGTATTTTCCCATGAGGCGAAGAGGTCTACGTCGGCCCTGCCGAACCTGAGCCAGATCTGCTCCACCACCTGAGGATGGGGACGCCATTCCCCATACAGTGGGTTGCCCCTGGACAGGAGATCTGCTCCCTTGTTCAGGATCCCCGCCACATGGGTCGCCTGGACTGAGAGGAGCCTGGTGCTGCTCCATAAAATTAGATCCCGGGCCAGCTTGTGAAGCTGCAGTGATCGTGTTCCACCCTGACGATTTATGTAGGCTACCACTGTAGAGTTGTCTGTCTTCACTAAGACATGACGGTTCTTTAGATGGGGCAGAAAGTGCTTCAGTGCTAGAAAAACTGCCTGAAGCTCCAACACTTATGTGGAGACGTGACATTTTCTGTGACCACACCCCATTTACTACTCTGCCCATCATGGTTGCACCCCATCCTGTCAGGGATGCATCTGTTGTCATGGTGGCCCTGGATGTTACTGCACCCAGCTGCCCCCCTGTGGTAAATACCGCGGGGGTCCCTCCATGGCTGAAGAGCTGCCAGACATGCCTGTGAAACTTTCATCCTGCGATGTAAATGGCGACGGGAGCATAGTTTTAATGATACGACCCACCGCTGGAAATGTCTCATCATCAGAAGCCCCAGATTCACTACAGTGATTACTGAGGCCATCAGTCCAAGGAGACACAGGCAAAGCCTGAATGACATGGTTCTCCCCAGCTGAAAAGCCGCGACACACTGGGAGAAGGAAGTGATCCTCCTCTCTGACAGCGTCACTCGATATGAGAGAGAGTTTTTTTTTTGAGATCCAAATATTCTGTACATTGTCTGGGTATCAAGCAGCTTTTTGTCTGGTTTATTCTGAATCCCAGGTCTGATAAATGTTTTATTACAACCTGGGAATCGCTTATCGCCTGTTCCCGTGTTCGGGAACATATAAGGTAATCGTCTATGTAAAACAGGATTCTGATGCCCCGCGCCCTGAGCAGAGCCAGGGCAGCGTCCACACACTTGCTGAAAACCCGCGGTGCTAAAGAAAGCCCGAACGGGATGATTTGATACTCGTAGGCTGTGCCCCGAAAAGCAAACCTGAGATTTTCTGTATGGTGGATAAACAGAGATGTAAAAATAAGCATCCGCCAGATTGATTGTTATGAACCAATCCGCTGGACGGATAGAACGACAAAGTGTTTTGTGCATCAGCATTCTGAACGTGTATCTGCGTGTTTGTTTAACATACGCAGATCTAATTTAGGCCTGTGAAGCGAGAGGCCCTTCTGCGTCGCTGCAAAATGACGTCACTCCCGCACCGCAGCAGGGCCCCGTGCATCTTGGTGAAAGTGCACGGGCACCCTCTACTGGGCAAAGATTTTGATAGTTTTTTGTTTTTGTCTTTTGTTTTTTTGTGGGGTACATTCTGCCCTCGGCAACGTGCTTGGCTGCAGAAATACATTCTTTATTTTTATTTGCCCCTGAACAAAATGAGGCAAACTGGGGCACTGAAAAGTGTTTGACACTGAGCGAGTGCTGTGTGTGTGATGCACATTTAGTGCTTGGTGACACTGTATTTCCTGCCTCAAAAAATCCTCTCTTTGAACATGAGAGGGTTGAACAAACACACCTGCTGAACTTGAAGCTGCAGGAGTGTGAAAACTCTGGCAGAGAGGGAGTGTTCCTTCTACCAGCTTTCTCCTTTTCACTGGAGGAGAAAAAGGAGGTGTTAGGCTGTCCGATTCTTTTTGCCCTCCCCAGGGTGGGACGGATGCTTCTTAGCTGCCGCTGCAGCAAAGGAGTGTTTGCCCCACAGCCTTGGATTTTCTCCTTTGTTCTGCTTGGCTGGGTGACCCGCTGCCTCTCTGGGTGTGCTGGCAGCAGCCTGCCTCCCTCTTGCTGCTGCAGCAAATCCAGATCTGGGTCCCTGCACCACATGCGGATTCTGTTTGCGTTGCAGACAGAGGTTAAAAGCCTCACCCTCTTGTTTTCTGAGGGTGCTAGTCTCTCATCTTTTCCAGAGCAGGGCCAAAAATAACTTTGGTTGGGTCATAGGCTGTGTCCATGACCTCAGCCTTCTGAGAGTCCCCCAGGCCTGAGAGGTTCAGCCACAGGGCCCTTTCACCGGCGACAGCGAGCCCCATGACTCGCCCACTGCCTTGGACAGCTCCTCTGGATGAGAGCAAGATGAGATCATTCACAACACAAATTTCATCCCACAGAATAGGGTTAGGTGACCCTGAGTCCAGCTGGTGGCCCATCTCCTCCAAGATTTCAGCCTGAAATGCAGATAACAGTGTGACAGCATTAAGAGCACATACAGACTGACCTGCTAATGTGTACATTCTCTGATAAATCGACGCTGTGAGGCGGTCTGATTTAGATGGGAGGGAAATATTGGTGGATGCTGAAAGCGATCTGCGGTTAGGGCGAGGTGGTATGCCACTGAAGGCTCCACAGCTGGGGGTCTGGTCAGCCCCAGCTTATCCATTCCCTGGATTTCCAGCTTGGAGCAGCCCTTAGTGGGGAGCTTGCTCCTGAAGGGGCTCGACCAGTAACGGTTCGTTTCCTTTATACAAGCTGGAACAGCAGGTAAAAGCTGTTTAGCTGGTGTAGAAGCCGGTGGAAGCCTCTTACCATCATACAGATCCCTTTCAGTCCCCTCAGCATTCTGAGCTGCAGGCCACGGGATACCCAGTTTATTAGCCGCCCGTCTGCAAACCTCATACAGGTCAAAATCCGCAGGAGAAGCCGCACCAGCGCCGCTGGGAGGCCTAGACTTAGGAGCGGGGAAGGTTGAATCTTCCTCCTCCTCCTCCATGTCATGGAGATCCGAGTTAGCATCAACATCCACGTCCTCCTGACCCGCTTCGAGTTCTCCGCCGTCCGCCAGCTCTTCCAAAAGAGGAGGTAGGACCAAGGACTCGTCCTCCATCATGTCTGCCCAGCTCGTAGCTTGCGACTGATGGTCGACACCTGTAGCCGCTGTCGCGGACAGGCTCGGGTCCTGGCTGTTCGCCACTGCTACTCGCAGTCTCCTTTCCAGGATTTTCTCCGGTATGTTGGAGCAGTGCGAACATTCTTGTGGGTTCTCCAGTGACGCTTGCGCGTGTTTGGCGCCCATGCATGTGATGCACATTGGGTGAGGGTCCCTACCGGAGATGGAGGCTCCGCATGACGCGGGGCACGGTTGGGATACAACCTCCTTGGCTTTAGGTTCCGATCCCTTGGTGAGGGCGGGTTCTGTAGCTATGATGGACAGAGAGCTCGTCGTGACAGGTTAGCTACAGCGGGTAAAATAAGTATTGAACACGTCACCATTTTTCTCAGTAAATATATTACTAGAGGAGCTAATGACATGAAATATTCACCAGATGTTGGTAACAACCCAAGTGATCCATACATACAAAGAAATCAAACCATAAATGTCCAGAAATGAAGTTATTTGTAATAATGTGGAATGGCACAGGGAAAAAGTATTGAACACACTTACTGAAATGTATCTAATACTTTGTACAAAAGCCTTTGTTGTCAATGACAGCTTCAAGACGCCTCCTGTATGGAGAAACTAGTGGCATGCATTGCTCAGGTGTGATTTTGGCCCATTCTTCCACACAAACAGTCTTCAAATCTTGAAGGTTTCGTGGACCTCTTCTATGAACTCTGATCTTTAGTTCTTTCCATAGATTTTCTGTTGGATTCAGGTCAGGTGATTGGCTGGGCCATTCCAGCAGCTTTAGTTTCTTTCTCTGAAACCAACTGAGAGTTTCCTTGGCTTTGTGTTTGGGCTCATTGTCTTGCTGAAATGTCCAGCCACGTTTCATCTTCATCATCCTGGTAGATGGAAGCAGATTTTTATCAAGAATGTCTCTGTACATTTTTCCACTCATCCTTCCTTCAATTATTTGAAGTTTGCCAGTACCATATGCTGAAAAACAGGCCCACACCATGATGTTCCCACCTCCAAACTTCACTGTTGGTATGGTGTTTTTGGGCTGATGTGCAGTGCCATTTGACCTCCAAACATGATGTGTATTCTGGCATCCAAACAGTTCAATGTTGGTCTCATCTGACCAGACTATATTCTCCCAGTATTACACAGGCTTGTTTAAATGTTGTGCAGCAAACTTTAAAGGAGCTTCAACATGCTGTTTCTTCAGCAGTGGAGTCTTGCGTGGTGAGCGTGCATACAGGCCATGGTGGTTCAGTGCATTACTTATTATTGTTGCCTTAAAGCGGTCGCTGCTCCTGAATGTAACTAAAGATACTTCTCACAAAGTCTTACTCGGCACAAGTCCAAAGCTGTAGGAAAAACTGCGTTCTGCGACGTACTCCTTAACGGGACGCCTGGGAACTGTTTAGCTAGCTAACCTAGCTAGCCTGAAAGCGCTGAGGGAGCTTGTTGTATTTTTTCACGGGAAGAAAGCGAGAATGAGTTGGGAGGGGTCTGTTGACCGTGATATATTGGGGGGGCGGAGCCCTGAGCACGGCTCAACCTGTCTCTCTCAGACGTAATGTCATTGGAGCTTCCGTAGATGGTCACGCAGGAGCGTTTCCCATAGTGAAACACCGAACAAAGTTAGAAAAAGAACTCCGATTTTACATTATTTATTTGTACAAATTGTTTTCTATCTTCCAAATAACTAGATACCCACTGTAAATGTAGGTTCACTAACACCATATTTATTTAACTTTTAAAAAGACCACTATGGTTAATAGTATCAAACACTTTTTTAAAATTAACAAAAATATTGACACAGTACTGTTTTTGATCAACAGCAGTTGTTATATGTTCTATTAATTCAATGAGAGCCATCGATGTAGAATTTTTTGGTCTAAACCCAAACTGACTGTTACTTAATATATTCTGCTTATCAATGAATTGGTCCAATCTTATTGCAAATAATTTCTCCAAAATCTTTGAAAATTGTGGCATAAAGAATATTGGTCTGTAGTTGTTAAACACACGTTTTTCACCATTTTTTAAAAAGAGGAATTACCTTTGCTGTAATGGAAATATTTCATTAGGGCAGAAACACGTGAATAAAACAAAGTGAAACTGTGTGATTTGGTCGTCAAATGATTTAATAGAGTTGCATATATGCAGAGATAAGTGATAACTGGAGAGAGTGAATCAGACAGCCCTGTCAAGTCATCACTCCTTAGCTACAGACAGGAAATGCATTTTATACTTCTGGGCAGAGTCCGTGGACAGCAAATAAGAGCGTGCCAAATCCTAAAGAGATATCAAATAACCAATGACAGTAATACAAGTTACAAATGCAATATGAAATGAGAACAAGGTTGCAGGTATCAGATGTGGTCTTTAAGAATTATGAGAACAGATTATACAAATGTGGCAGTAATAAAAGAGATACAGAACATGTCAAGATAGCCTAGCAGTTAGGGAGGTTATTTAATATGTTTCCACCACATTTGCTATTTTCATGTTGTTTGGAAATATAGCAGTTGAAAATGGTTAATTACAGATGTATGTAAACAATCACATAATTCATTGTGTCTTTTACAAACATGTCCATGTCAACCCAGTCTTTTGATCTCTTGTCTGCAAGATTTTTAACAATATTCGTTATTTCTTCTTTGTCAGTTTCATAAAGAAAAACTATTAACACGACCTGTAACAGTGTGGTTCACATTTCTGTCTAGTTTTGGTATTTTAGATGCAAGACTTGGGCCAACATTCACAAAATAATGATTAAATCCATCTGCAGTTTCATTTTGATCATGAATTTCAATTTTATCCTTTACAAAGTTTTGTGGAATACCTGATTTTACGTCATGATTTTTCAAAAGACTATTCATTTGCCATGTTGCTCTTGTGTTACCATTATTTTTGTCTAATAACTTACTATAATACTCCTTCTTGTGCTTACATATGACTGTTTGGGTGAAAAGGTAGTACATTAAATTGACTGTACAGTAATTATTTCCTATCTGACAACCCTACCTGGCATGGAAACTACAGTGGATTCATGTAAAAGTTTGATACATAAGTAATGGCTTCTAAACCTCACAGATTACTAGAGAAACAGTTACTGTACCAGATTATCTAAAGGTTCTGATGTTTGACTGTCTGCTTTATTGACAACATCTTAGAATCCCAACTTGAACTTCAAAGAGGTGACGTATGAACTGGACCACCCAGGCTTTATAATCCGGGACAGTAAAGGCCTTCACATAGTGGTGTACAGTATCCAGAGAGGGCTGGGCCTGGAAGTCTTTCCTGTTGACCTCATCTATCGACCATGGAAACATGCTGAAGGACAGGTAAGTCTGTCTGACCTGTGCCTAACTCACATTAAGATGTTGGCATTTCGTTTACATTTCAAAACAAAAAATACTATGAGGCATTACCACGGAGTTGTGATATTTTTGTAGAAACTGTCAAATATCTTTGAGGTTTAGTTGTGTATTTTTATCCCGTAAAAGATGAGTGATGGTTTTTAACCTTTTTAAAAAATAATTGATTACATTTTGGAGTTAATCCATTTCAAGGTGGCTGTCACAGCTAGTACACATGGTGAGGTTGTAAATATGGCCCAAAATCTTGCCTTAAGTTATTTACAAGGTTTGACTAAAATGTCTATGAATCCTCAGTGAAGGATGATCTGAGTCTGAAACTTTGACATGGAGGGTGGTGAACAATATGCATTCCTTAAAGAGTCTTCAACCTTTAGTCTTTTCAAATGTCTAAAATAAACTTTGTTTTTTCCAGTTGTCATTTATTCAGCACTCCCTGATGAACCCAGATGTGTTCTGCTTTGCTGACTATCCTTGTCACACTGTGGCCATCGACATCCTCAAAGCCCCACCAGAAGATGATAACAGAGAGATTGCCACATGGTAAGGAAGCTCTGGAGCTCGACTCTCCTTTTTTATGAACCTTGTTTGAGGAATTCTGAATAAGATGGTTGATATTCTTAAGAAATAAGATGTCTTAAAGTCTGAAGAAACTGCAGATTGTCAGATTTAGGTTTTTGTGATGTCACAGGGAAAGTCTCCACCTAGTGGAGAGTCTTCTGAGACTCTGAGGTCAGCCAGTTCGAACACAAATCATTAAGGTTTTCTAACTTTTCACAGGAAAAGTCTCGACCTGGTGGAAAGCCTTCTGAGACTCTCTGAGGTGGGACAGTACGACCAGGTGAAGCAGCTTTTCAGCTTCCCCATCAAGCACTGCCCAGACATGTTGGTGCTGGCACTGCTGCAGATCTCCACATCCTGGCACACACTGCGCCATGAGCTCATCTCTACCCTAATGCCTATCTTCCTGGGCAACCATCCCAACTCTGCCATTATTCTGCACTATGCCTGGCATGGACAGGTGTGTGTCTGTTCTCATATTTTTGTTTGGATTCTTTCATACAGTTTTTGTCCAGTTCATCACCAAGCACCTGTTCTTCTTATACTATAACATGTTAATCTCCTCCTGCATTCAACAGGGCCAGTCTCCCTCCATTCGTCAGCTAATTATGCATTCAATGGCTGAGTGGTATATGAGAGGAGAGCAGTATGATCAGGCTAAGCTGTCTCGCATCCTGGATGTGGCCCAGGACTTAAAGGTTTATCTTCTGTGCAGTTTGTCTCTTTAAAATATAGATCAGTTTAGATGATTAAAAACAACTTTATAACCAGTAATGAATGAAGTCCAAATAACTGTAGCACTAGTTATCACTAAACAGACCCACATGGGGTCTCAGAATGGATAAAGGACAAAGTTTAGCAATGAATTTTATGAATTTGTTCCATCTGTTTTTCCTGGTGACAAATTAGTGAATATTTTCTTTTTTGTCAGTCTCTTTCTATGCTGCTGAATGGTACTCCATTTGCCTTTGTCATTGACCTCGCTGCACTTGCCTCTCGCCGTGAATACCTCAAACTTGATAAATGGCTGACAGACAAAATCAGAGAGCATGGGGTAAGTCTCTAAATTGGACTGAGTCCTCACCAGATGTCTTCTGGGTTAAGACAGTTGGGGTTTATTCACATTTTCTGAAGAATGTTTATGAAGTTTTGTGTTTTTTTTTTTTTTTTTGTAGGAGCCTTTTATCCAGGCCTGCGTGACATTCCTTAAGAGGCGCTGCCCGTCCATTATGGGGGGTCTGGCTCCGGACAAGGACCAGCCCAAAAGTGCCCAGCTGCCCCCAGAGACGTTAACCACCATGCTGACCTGTTTGAAGTCCTGTGCTGGGTGAGAAAATAAAATGCTCCCTTTCAAATAATTTACTCTACAATTATCTCACTGATTGATTGATTGATTCTCACTTAATCCAGAACAACAAAAACTGTTTTATTAAAAGCCTTTAAAGTACAGATTTTATTCCTTCTCTGTTTCACTGAGGTTTTGACTCTGTTCTTGTTGGCTTAAAATGAATGAACTTTATTAGTAGTGGAAAATTTTCTAAGGTAAAAAATCACGACTTTGAACACTTTTTTTAAAATCTGGTTTCATATTTTGTACATATTTATCTCATAATTTC